TTATTCTTATTTTTTATCTTCCTTCTTTTCTTTTGTATTCTCTCCATTTGTTTGTTTATTTATTTATTTTTAGATTCAATTGATTTTTGAGAGAGTTGAAAGGAGAGGGAGAGATAAACATCGGTATAAGAGCATAACATTGATCTTCTACCTTCTGTACACCCCCTATCAAGACTCAAGCCTATGATCCAGCCATGTTACCTGACTAGGAATCAAAGCAGCAATCCCCATGTACACAGAACATTGACCAACCACCTGAGCCACACCAAAAAGGGCTCTTGTTTTGTTTATTTTTTTAATTCTCCAGTTCTTGTGGTCTCTTGTCTTTTGTTTTCCTTTGTGGTTGTTTTTCTTGGTGGTTGTTGACTTGGTTTTTACTTTGTGTTGGTTTGGCTTGGTCTTGTTTTTCTCTGCAGCCCCTGTATTACAGTTGGCATCATGTGGTTGAGTTGAGCCTCACAGTCATGTAGCCTGTGGGTCAAGCCCACCCATTAGTGGGACAACAGCACCCAGAACCCAATTACAACAGGAGAGCCCTCATCACCTGCACCAGGGACATTCCTACAGCACTCAGATTGGAAGATCAAGGCAGCTATACCACTGAATCCCACAGGACAGCCCCTACAATGGGCACTCCACCAAGACTGAGAGTCAGAACAGTGCTCTCCACTATGTATTATAGAAACAAAAAAACAGATAACATAGGGAAACAAAGAAACAGGCCCCGATGGAAGAATAGAAGGAATCTCCAGAAAAAGAGCTAAATCAGATGGAGGCAAGCAATTTATCAGAAACGGGTAGAAAGCAATGGTTTTAAGAATGCTCAATAGCATGAAAAAGTACATAGAAACCAACAAACTACCAGTTAGAAGTAAGTAATGACATATCTAAAATAAAATAATACACTGGAGGGAATAAACTATAGGTTAAAAGAAGCAGAGGATCAAATCAGAAGATAGGGTAGACAAAAATCTCTCAATCGTAGCAGCAGTTTTTTTTAAAAAGCAGGAGGACATTTTTGGGAAACTATGAAAGGTAACAACTTCTGCATCATAGGAGTACCAGGGGTAGAAGAAAATGAACAAAGTGTAGAGACCATGTCTGAAGAAATAGTGACAGCAAACTTCCCTAACCTGGTGCAGAAAGAAAGTCACACAAGTTCAGAAAGCACAAAGAGACCCAAACAAGATGAACTCAATGAGACCCACATCGAGACACACCATAACACCATAATTCAAATGGCAAAGGTTAAAGACAAAGAGAGAATCTAAAAGGCAGCAAGAGAGAAATAGTCAGTTATCTACAAGGGATTTCCCATAATGCTGTCAGCTGCTTTCTTAACAGAAACATTACAGACCAAAACGAATGGCATAAAGTATTCAAAGTAATGAAAAGCAAGCATCTGAAACCAAGACTACTCTGCCCAGCAAGGCTCTCATTCAAAATTGAAATTGAAATACTATTAAACAATGGATGCTTTACCAAGAAGATCAAGGAATAAATTTAAAAAATAAAATTCCTGGAAACAAATGATATTGTACATAACAACAACCCAAAACCTATGGGACATGGCAAAATAGTTCTGAGAAGCCAGTTCCTAGTTATAGGCCTCAAGACCAAGAAAAATCTCAATCTAACCTTACAAGTAAATGAACTAGAAATAAATTAAGAATAAAAGCCCAAAGTAAGTGGAAGAAAGGAAATAGCAAAAAAATCACAGTGGAAATAAATGACATAGAGATAAAACAAAATATCAGTAAAACGAAGAGTGGTTCTTTGAAAAGATAACAAAATTGAAGATAGACATAAGTAAAAGAACCTACCTAGCCATTGCAGTTAATACTTGGGGACTTTTAACTAAAATTCACATGTCTAAGAAAATCAATGAAATGATGAATTTTCCCAGGATATTGTATAACAGAAAATCAAACAGAAATGTAAAAGTTTAAAAACAGAATATTAGCAATAAAGAACTCAAAGTACATGATTTGAACTCGAAGAGATCTCAGAAAAAATACTCAAAGTGAGGTGTGTGGGGGGGGGCTGTTTACCTATAGGAAAAAAAAAAAAAAATATATATATATATATATATATATATGTGTGTGTGTGTGTGTGTGTGTGTGTGTGTGTGTGTGTAATTGGACTTCCAGAAGAAAGAGAGAAAATGAGACATAACCCATATTTAAAGATATAATCAGCTGGAACCGGTTTGGCTCAGTGGATAGAGCGTCGGTCTGCGGACTGAAAGGTCCCAGGTTCGATTCCGGTCAAGGGCATGTACATTGGTTGCAGGGACATCCCTGGCAGGGGGTGTGCAAGAGGCAGCTGGTCAATGTTTCTCTCTCATCGATGTTTCTAACTCTCTATCCCTTTCTCTTCCTCTCTGTGAAAAAATCAATAAAAAATATTTTTTAAAAAAAAAAAAAGAAAGAAAGAAATGATGAATAGTGAAGACAGTATTTAAAAAAATAAAAATAATAATAAAAATAAAAATAAATAAATAAAGATATAATCACCATTAATTTTTTTTCAACACCGACAACAGACATCAAGATGGAGATTCAAGGAATTCTGTAAGCCCTTTGTGATAATGCGGGAAAAACCTCAACTGACACTTTATGGTAAATCTGCTGGAAATCAGGACAGGAAGAGGTCTTACACAGAGAAACTGTATTTTCAATAGGTCAAGCATTAGACTCAGAAATCTTCACAATAGGAACAAACAAATAAACAGACAACAGAAGGACATCTTGAAGTGTTAGGGTAAATGAATGAAATTCAATAAAAGGGATCATTAGAAATAACTGACTATTAAAAAAATGGAAAACAAAGAAAATGAACTTTAGTTCATTCAATGTTTCTAAACTCTCTAGGTAAAAATCCTATGTAATAAAAGGCTAATATGCAAGTTGACCGAACAACAGAAACACTGGTTGCTATGACACACACTGACCATCAGGGGCAGACCTCACTGTCAGAGCTGCCTCTGGTGGTCAGTGCTCTCCCACAGGGGAGCGCCGCTGGTGGGTGCGGCGGTGGTGGAGGCGCCCCTCCTGCCTCCGGGCAGGGCTAAGGACGTCCGGCTGCTGGCTCGGACCTGCCCCCGGGGCCTAAGCTGGCCGTCGAGCATCCCCCGAGGGCTCCTGGACTGTGAGAGGGCGCAGACCGGGCTCAGGGACCGCCGAGTGCATGAATTTTATGCACCAGGCCTCTGGTACCATAAATAATTCAGAATAATATGAAACAAGTATAGGATGCCTCTATGAGACACATACATGTAATATGCTTGCAAGAATAGTTTCAAGTGAAAGATGACAGATATTCCTTATACGGTTTAAATATCACAGCTTTACTATCGCACATCGGACCAGACACCATCTGCACACTTCAATATCACCCGTCAATACAATGTACAACAGGGAAGAAATATGCTTTTCAAATCAGGCATGCAAATAGATCAGCCACTCTTCTTAACAAAAGTACAAAACTTCAGAAAGAAATCCCTCTTTAGAGACGGCTCGCCACTCAGAGTCCTTCCTTCCTGTCCGCGTTGTGGGGGTGCTGGGGCCGCTCCAGGCTGGGGAGGACGAAGCGCTGGCTGTCCGTTATCTTCTCGGCACCAGCCCGCCCCGCCCGGTGCGCATGCTGGGCTGGCGGTGGACGGTGACGGACAGGGCAGCGCACCTGTTCGCTTTCCCGCGTCTCCTTTGCTGGCGGCCTCCTGGATCAGACGTGTGTGCTGCAGGGACTGGTTCCGGGCACTCGCTCCGCTTCCACGCGCTGCTCCGTCTGCACAGCGCGCCCGGTCCGCGGTCCGAGTCTCCGTGCCCGCTCTGTGAGCGCACAGCCAGTCCTCACGGAACTCGGTGCCCCGGCCATGGACACGCGTGGGCTCTGCCAGCTGGCTCAGCGGCCCCGTCCTTCTCAGGGCCCGCGTGTGGCGGCCTGTGGGCACTGATGCCCATGCTGACACTTGGTCTTCAGAGCAGTTCAGGGTCCGAGCAAAATGGAGGGGAAGGCTCAGAGATTTCCCCCCTCCTCCGCCCCCCTGCACGGCCCCCACACCCACCCTCCAGGGGGGACGCTGTCACCACGGAGGAGCCCGCCAGACACGCCATCGTCCCTGCGTGCGCCATGGGTGTTGGGGTCGCTCTGTGCCGTGCACCCTGGGGGCTGGGACAGACGTGTGATGGCGTGTGTCCGTCACCTCAGCGTCACATAGCAGTTCCCCCAGCCCACACCCTCCGGGCTCCCCCTCCGTCTCCCTCCTCCCCCACCTCCTCCCCAGGGCACCCCCTGCCCTGCCCCTGTCCCCGCCGGCCCGCCTCTCAGGAGGCCACACGCTGCAGTCACAGGGGGTGTTCAGACGGCTCCTGTCACGAGTCCATGCCTCCCGGCTCCTCCTCGGCTCCGCGCGGCTCCACAGGGCCTTGCGTTTGGTGCTGGGGAGCGTTTTGTAAAGCGGCTTTGAGTTAAAGTGCTGCACGACTCCAGCCGCACGGCCCAGCGTTCTGTGACCGAGCCCGCACGTTCCTCGGCCGGGGCGTGACCTGGCGTCCCCCACGCCATGGGGGCCGTCTGTCCCTCACAGGTGACCCGCCCCCAGCCCAGGTCCAAGACCCGCCCCGTGTCAGGCCCACATCCTGCCCAGGGGGCGCTTTCCCCCAGACCGAGGGCCGCTGGTCACCCCGCTGACTGTGAGGACAGCGGTGCACGTTGGCTCATGGATCAATGCCCGGATGCCCTGCGATCAGGCTCACATGGGAATGGGGCTCACACGTGGCCGCTGGCTCTGAGGGGTCACTGCAGGTGAGGCGTCCCCCAGCGTGCACATGCCTGTGACTGCGTGTAAAGGCGGTTTATTGACGTGCAGGTCATTTCCGAGTGGAGTCCCCAGCGTGCGCACATGCTGCCGGCCGCTGCGTCAGGCTCCTGTGTCCGGCCCCCGCCTCCGGGGGAGAGCGAGGGGACAGTGCTGACCAGGCTCCCCTTCCCCCCAGGCTCACCGGCTCCAGCGTGCCCGACCTCATCGTCAGCCTGAGCAACCAGATGTGGCTGCACCTGCAGTCGGACGACAGCATCGCCTCGCCGGGGTTCAAGGCCGTCTACCGAGGTACCCGAGCCCGCGGGACAGAGCCCCCACCGGGGTACCGGGTGACAGAGGCGAGGGGACCCTGTCCCCGAGGGCGGCACAGGGACTGACTCCGCCCTCGCCGCGGGGCCGCTCAGGCCGCTCCCCGAGCGGACAGTACCTTCTCGAAGGTGGGGCTGGCGCCATGTGGCGTCCGCTGTGGCCGTGGCAGGCGGGGCTGGCGCGGGGTGGCGTCCACTGTGGCCGTGGCAGGCAGGGCTGGCACGGGGTGGCGTCCGCTGTGGCCGTGGCAGGAGAGAGCGAGACCCAGTGAGCCGGGAGCCCAGCCAGGGACAGGGTGCCTCTCGGGGTTTGCACGCCAGGCCGGTCCCGGGCGTGTGCCCGGAGGTGATTTGAGCAGAGGGTGTATGTGCGTGTCATCAGGGTCACAGGCGCCCCAGCACCCTGGGGTTCATGGAGGAGGGGCCAGCCCGTGTGCGGAGGCAGGAGAGTCCCTGGGCCCGTCACGCCGCCCCTGCTGCCCGGGCCCCGTGTGTGAGGCGGGCCCCGGGGAACAGGCCCTCACGGCACACAGACTGTCCAGTGTCGCGGCCTCCCCCTGCTGTGTGTCAGACACACAGACAGTCAGACAGAAGACGGACAGGCCGTTCCCAGGGTAGCCTACCGCTCTCCCCTCCGGGGCCCCTTGCTGGGCACAGGCCCCCTCACCCCGGGGACTGAGGGGGGCGGGGGCCCAGGGCGGGGCTCTGAGCAGATGAGCCTCTGGTCCCTTGGGAAGGTGACCCCGCGGCCCCGCCCGGGACTGTGGGGCCACAGGCCGTGGGAGGAGCCAGACAGGAGCGCCTGTCAGAGTAACAGCGGTTCCGAAGCCCCTGCCAGCCGTGCTGGGTGAGAGGCTCCGGGCCCTGCTCCTCCACCCCGTGGGGATCCGGGGACCCCAGCGACTGTGCAGCAGGCCTCCTCGCTCTCACGGGAGGCGGCTCCGGTCTCCGGGGATTGGAGAGGAGACTGAGGCGATGCAGGCTGAGAGCGGCCTGTGCTGGGGACGGGGGACGGGCGGTGTGTCGGGGGCCGGTGGGGCAGACCGGGGCAGGAAGCTGGCAGAGCGCATTAGGCCAGGTGCCCCCCCGGTGCCACCATGGCCCGGGAGCTGGCTGACCGTCAGTGTCCCCAGATGGCGGCCGGGGAGCTGGTCCCAGTGCCGTGGCCCGGCCCCATGGAGAGGCGCAGCCGGCAGGGCGTCCGGAGGAGGGTGCAGCCGGGCCGGGAAGCTGAGGTCTGAGGGAGGCGGGTGCAGAGGACCTGGGCCAGAATCAGAGCTGAGATCCAGCGCAGCCGCTCAGGCTCCTGTATGTAACCGGCTCAGCCTGTCGAGGTCCGAGTCCCAGGCCCAATGACCTCATCCTGTGTCGTTCTGCACTTGCGACACACACAGAAAAGCCAGTTTCCAAAAGCTGGGCCCGGCCGGCGTGGCCCGTGGCTGAGCACCGGCCTCTGAACCAGGAGGTCAGGGTTCCATTCCCGGTCAGGGCACAGGCGGGTTGAGGGCTGATCTCCAGTTGGGGCGTGCAGGAGGCAGCCAGTCCAGGACTCTCTCCTTCTCCCTACCCCCCTGAAGGAAAAAAAAAAAAAAAAAAAGGCCTGTTTCCTCGTTTCCTGCTGTCAAATGTGTGTAAGCTTTCGTCTGGAGCTGGACTTCCTCGCCAGCTCTCCTCTCCCGGCTCAGCCCTGCGCCCTCCGAGCCGCGGGGCCTGTGGAGTCCGGCCCCTCCCGCTGCTGCTGACCCGGGGCGGTGTCTGTGCGGGAGGGCGCGGGGTCCTGGGTGGACACGTTCCTAAGGGAGGTGGGAGCTCCTCACGGTCCAGAGCGGCCTCTGCAGGAAGCGTGACTCCCTGTGGTTTCAAACAGGCGCGGTCCCCTACGGCCGTGGTGGGCAAACTGCGGCACGAGAGCCACAGGCGGCTCTTTGGCCCCTGGAGGGTGGCTCTGCCACAAAACACCACGGCCTGGGCCAGTCCGGGTTGAAGAAGTGGCGTTAGAAGAAGTTTAAAACATGTGGCTCTCCGAAGAAATTTTAGTGGTTGCATCCTTGGAATCTGGCTCTGTGGACTGAGCAGTTTGCCGGCCACCGGCCTCAGGAAAAGGTGTGAGTTCATGGCAGCTCCAGGGATGGTTCCGGAGTGGGTTTGCTTCCCGTGGTCTCTCCGTGGCCTCACAGAGCTTTTGCAAACACATCCACACAGGCCGCTCTCTCCCTCTCCCTCTCCCGCCCCTCCATTCCCCCTCCTGCCCCTCCATTCCCTCTCCCCGCCCTCCGTTCCCTCTCCCGCCCCTCCGTTCCCTCTCCCGCCCCTCCGTTCCCTCTCCCGCCCCCTCCATTCCCTCTCCCGCCCACTCCATTCCCTCTCCCGCCCCCTCCATTCCCTCTCCCACCCCCTCCATTCCCTCTCCCACCCCCTCCATTCCCTCTCCCGCCCACTCCATTCCCTCTCCCCACCCTCCATTCCCTCTCCCACCCCTCCATTCCCTCTCCCACCCCCTCCATTCCCTCTCCCGCCCCCTCCATTCCCTCTCCCACCCCCTCCATTCCCTCTCCCACCCCCTCCATTCCCTCTCCCGCCCACTCCATTCCCTCTCCCCACCCTCCATTCCCTCTCCCGCCCCTCCATTCCCTCTCCTGCCCCTCCATTCCCTCTCCCGCCCCCTCCATTCCCTCTCCCGCCCCTCCGTTCCCCCTCCCGCCCCTCCGTTCCCCCTCCCGCCCCTCCGTTCCCCCTCCCGCCCCCTCCGTTCCCCCTTCCGCCCCCTCCGTTCCCTCTCCCGCCCCCTCCGTTCCCTCTCCTGGCCCCTCTCCGAGGCCGGGAAGATTGCCTGTCTGAAAAGCAATTCCAGGCGACACGCTTTCACATCAGCTTTCAGTCCATTTCAACTTGACGGCTCTTCTCCAAACTTTTCACTTTCCTGTTGGAAATGGAATTACACCCTCCCCCCCCCCCCCCCCCGCCCCAGAAGGTGTGTGACTGCTCCTCCTCTCCCAGCGGTCCCCAGACCAGCCCTGTCATCGCCTCCCCCATGCAGTCTCCCCCGTCAGCACGCTGGATCGGAACTGCATGATTTCCCTTTGCTGTCACGACGGAGCTGAATGACACGCCCTGTGGAAGGATGTGAGGCCTCTGTTGCCATTGATGTTCCTTTTATTATCACTATTATTTATTTGGCTTTTCTTCCGAGGTGTGTATCTTTGCTCTCCTTCCTGCGGGTTTTGTGAAAATCAATCAGAAAGCCTCGCCGGCTCCGTGGCCGTGGCTCCTGTGCCCCCGGTGAAAGGCTTGTCCAGGGGCTGATTGCAGTGTCTCCCCGATGGCACCCCCCTCCAGGCCTCCCCGGGCCTCCCCCCGGGGCCACTGCGGGTAAGCCACAGCCACAGCGCGTGGGAGGCCGTGAGCATCGCTCCGCCGAGCCGAGCCGAGCTGGGCCCTCTCTGTGGCCATGGCTTCCTGTTGGTCGGAGATGTGGGCCCCGGGACACCTGCCTCGGGGGCTGGGGGTCAGGGAGGTGACCTCTCACCCCTGTCAGTGCCTGTGCCGTGGGGTCCCAGAGAAATGCCTCTCTGCCCGCCTGTGAGGCCCGAACCCTCTTCTCCGCCTGTGAGGCCCGAACCCTCTCTCTCCCTTCCTCCCTCTCTCTCCCTCTCCCTCTCTTTCCCTCCCTCTCTCTCTCACTCCCTCCCTCTCCCTCTCTCTCTCCCTCTCTCTCTCTCCCTCCCTCCCTCTCTCCCTCTCTCTCTCCCTCTCTCTCTCTCCCTCCCTCCCTCTCTCCCTCTCTCTCTCCCTCTCTCTCTCTCCCTCCCTCCCTCTCTCCCTCCCTCCCTCTCTCTCTCTCCCTCTCTCTCCCTCTCCCTCTCTCTCCCTTTTCCTTTCTTTCCCTCTCTCCCTATCTCTCTCTCTCTCTCTCTCTCTCTCTCTCTTCTCTCTCTCTCTCTCTCTCTCCCTCCCTCCCTTCCTCCCTCCCTCCCTCCCTCTCTCCCTCTCTCTCTCCCTCTCTCTCTCTCCCTCCCTCCCTCTCTCCCTCTCTCTCTCCCTCTCTCTCTCTCCCTCCCTCCCTCTCTCCCTCCCTCCCTCTCTCTCTCTCCCTCTCTCTCCCTCTCCCTCTCTCTCCCTTTTCCTCTCTTTCCCTCTCTCCCTATCTCTCTCTCTCTCTCTCTCTCTCTCTCTCTCTCTCTCTCTCTCCCTCCCTCCCTCCCTCCCTCTCTCTCTCCCCAACACTCCACAGTGTAGCAGGACGGGGCGTAATTCATTCATTCAGTCTTCCAAGCCAATGGGAGTTCATTCAGCCTTTCACTCTGAAGCAAGCCCTGGCCTTGATAGCCGGTGTGTTCCCGTTTTCGTTTAAAGCGCAGGCGGGCGGCAGAGAGCACCTCTCCCTGGTGCGTGTCTCCGGCTTCCGAGAGCATCGGGGCAGAAACACGGCCCTCGGTTTCCTTCTGGAAAGCTCTCCGGAGCCCAGCAGGCAGCTCGCGGGCTGTGGTTTCACACCAGGAAGGCTGCGGCTGGATCCCGTGCCGGGCTCATTGGGGGGCAGCCGGGGGATGTTTCTCACACCCATGTTTTTCTCCCTTTCTCTCTCCCTTTCTCTCTCTCTAAAGAGAAAGCCAGAAACCCATCCTTTGGTAGGGATTCTAAAAACATGTCACCTAAGCACACAGTTAACTGGCTGCAGTGATAATTTTAAAACAAAGTATGTGGCTCCTGGGGGCTGAGCCACGTGAACAACGGCAAACAGTGAACCGTCTGTGAAGAGCACTGATGCCGGCTCTCGCAGTCCCAGGGACCAGGGAGAGGCCGCGGCCAGGCCCCGGGGAGCCTCAGGACCCTGTGTCCGCGCGGCGGAGGCGTCGCGAGAGGAGAGGACGGTCCCGGCCTCTCGGGAATGAAAGGCGGCTCAGCACTCGGCAGGCAGACCCTGCAGCCAGAATGAGGAGTCTGATGGATATTGGGGGACGGGAGGGACAAGGGGAAAGACGCCCTCAGCCAGCCACGGCTGCCCTCAGGAACAGAGGGGACTCGCCCAAGTGGACCGAGAGCAGCTACAGGTAACCCTCCTGGTGCCAGGAGCCCCCCTGCAGCCGCATTAGCCCGATCTGGGAGGACAGGCCCTCCTCCACAGGAGTGGCCTCAGCGGGTCTCTCTGTTTGTTTCCATCTCTGCTTCCTTCCCGCCAAGAACGCTGTCATCCCAGCAGCCATGCACATGTGCTTAGAAACAAGAAAACCCGCAGGCCTGGGAAGCCGGCAGGTTAGCGAGCACCTGCCCGCGGCCAGCTCCTCCGCCTCAGAGGCCGGGCTGCTGGCTGTCACGGCAGGAACCAGGAAGGGGGGCACCGGGGAGCCGGCTTGAGCCCGCAGCTCCCCGCATGCTCTCCCTCTGCCCGCCTCCGTGGCTTCTGGGTGAGTCACCCCAGCCACAGCCACATTCTGTCCAATGTGGCGTTCTAAATTTACCTGCTGAACTGCCCACTTCTGTCCAGAATAACTCAAAGGCTCACGTGCCCATTTTTGTTCTGGAAGCCAGAGGCACAGACGGCGGAACGTCTGCGGCCGGGCCAGCGAGCGGCCGGCAGTCGATGATGGGGGGGCCGGTGCTGGGCGCGGTGGTTTCCGCCGGCTCGGCGCTGTGAGGAGCTCAGTTCATCTAATCCGCCAGCCAGTGCCCTGCGTTGGCTGTGCAAATAGCACTCTCATTTACTTTCCCTTTCTGTTTTCTTAGTCCTCACCCGAAGCTATCGTCCCACTGATTTATGGGGAGAGTGGAAGAGAGACGGAAAGACAGAGAGAAACAACGATGGATGTGAGAGAAACACGTTGATTGGTTGCCTCCTGCATGAGGCCCAGGGTCCGGGCCAGGATGGGCTGGCAACCGAGGTTCGTGCCCTTGACCAGAATCAAACCCGGGATCCTTGGGTCTGCAGGCCGACGCTCTATCCACTGAGCACACCAGCCAGGGCCAAGCATCACTTTTAATTTTTTTTTTATTTTTATTTTATTAAGGCAGCAGTCGGCAAACTCCTTAGTCCACAGAGCCAAATAGCAACAGGACAACGATCGACATTTCTTTGGAGAGCCACGTTTGTTAAACTTAAACTTCTTCTAACGCCACTTCTTCAAAACAGACTCGCCCAGGCTGTGGCATTTTGTGGGAGAGCCACACCCAAGGGGCCAAAGAGCCGCCTGTGGCTCGCGAGCCGCGGTTTGCGGCCACGGGTTTAAGGTGTTACATATAGTAGTACAGCTCTTGAGCTCCGTCTTCCTGCCTCGAGGGCCTGGGCTGCTTCCATGGGACATTTCCGGTCCTTCGAGGCCACAGGTGCGTCTCTTGTCGGTGATGGGCCAGGCTGCTGGCGGTGTCAGTGGGAGAGACGTGGTTCAGGCCTCCGGGTGTTCGGGGGTCGGGTCCAGCCTGGCCCTGCCTGGCTGTGCTCCGTCAGGGCCGGTTGCCGTGGTTTCCTTCGGGGCTCCTGTGGAGCCCCCTGCTTACAGCCCGGTCTGCAGACCCCGGGCTGCCGCTGACCTGCAGCATCGAGCACGGGCAACACCGAGCACGGGGCGCGGCCACACTCCCTGCCTCGCCTTCCCGTGGCCCGCACTGGGCTCGCACCCGGTCTTCCCTGGAATTAGATGCGTTTCGGCCATGTTGTCCTTTCCCCCCAAATAAAGTAGCCCCGGGGTGCGTGCACACTGCCTGCCTCGTCCGCGCCCATTCCCGGAGCAGCTGACCTGCTGGCCTTCGGGAGGAGGCTCCGTGAGGATGCTGGCTCCAGCGGCTGCATCTGGTTAGCGCTGGCGGCGGGCGGGGCCGCGCTGGGCTCTGCAGCGCGGCCTTCACGCCCGGTCCCAGCGGTCAGGCGTCCACGGGGAGAGGTCTCCGCCCTCACCTTCTCCTAACGGAGTCCACGCGTGGCCCATTCGTCTCCTCGCTGTGCTCTCGCCGCCCAGAAGGAGAGGGCCGGCCCCCGGGGGCCACAGTGCTCAGGGGAGGGGCGCTCGCTCTCTCTCACCTGGGCTGTGGCCAAGAGCCGCCGATTAGAACGAGGCGGGGCCAGGAGCAGGCAGTGCGTGGCCAGGAGGGCTCGCTCACGTGTTCACCCTGACGTGGGCATGCTGAGCTCCCGCGTGGCCACGCGTGTGTCTGAGACCCAGTCAGACCCTCTCTCACGTGTGCCCGCACCTCCACCGGCGCTGGTGCCGGAACGAGGACGAGCCGAGGCCCCTGGTTAAAGCTGTGCACGGACGCGGCGTGGAGACCAGCGACGACCCGCGTGTTCGTGCTCCAACGGCCGAACGCTGAAGCGCGTCCGTGTGACCGTCCGTCTGTCCCTCCCCCGCAGAGATCGAGAAGGGCGGCTGCGGGGACCCCGGCGTCCCTGCCTACGGGCGGCGCGCGGGCGCCAGCTTCCTGCACGGGGACACCCTGAGCTTCGAGTGCCAGCCCGCCTTCGAGCTGGTGGGCGAGCGCGCCATCACCTGCCAGCGCAACAACCAGTGGTCCGGCAACAAGCCCAGCTGCGTGTGTGAGTGCCCGGGGCCGGCCCGGGGGGCAATAGGGGGGGCGGTCCCAGGCCGAGGCAGCCTCACTGAGGGCACGGCCGCTCTCCACGCCGCCCTGCCTCGCTCTCTCACTCGCCTGCCTGGGCCCTCACCTCACGGGCACCGGCGTCACCCGTGCCAGTCAGGGCGCCCGCGAATCTGCCCGCGGTCCCTCCACGAGAGGAAAGTACACAGATATCCGCCCCCCGAAAAAAAATGTGTGCACACTTTGGTTAACGCCAGGGGCTTACATCGGAAAAGAAAAAGATCGATCGAGCTGCCAGCTGAGTGTGCACACTTTGGGAACGCCAAATAGGAAGATTTCTCAGTACTCCTCCCCTTCTTATTTTTATTTTATATTTATCTATCTATTTTTAAATCTTTACTGTGGAAAGTATTCCTTATACCCCTTTCCCCAGTGACCTCTTCTGGACTGCCCCCCTTCCCTTCCCCCAGCTCCCCCCCCATGCCCTACCCCCCACCCCGGCCTTCCACCCCTGGCCTTCCCCCCTCCCAGCCTGCACCCTCTCCTGGCCTCCCCGCACCCCGCCTCCCCTCCCAGCGTCCATCTGCCCCCCCCCCCCCGCCCCATGGCCTGTGTCCGTGGGCGATACAGGCTGGCCAGGGCTTCGGCTGGTCTCTCCCCGCCCTCTCCCCGCCCTCCCCCCAGGCGCCACGGTCTGCCCCACGCTCCCTGTCTCTGTGCGCACAGTACACTCTGAGCCTCCACCCTGACGTGGTCTGATTTTCCACGACGGCATTTCTCAGGAGTGACCTGTGACCCACGACACACGTGGGTAATGAGCGACGCCCACGTGACGTGCGAGGCGAAACACTGGCCTGGGAGCCCGGGTGGAGCCGCTGTCACTCCCGGCACTGGCTCCCAAGACGCACACACACACGCACACGCACACACACGTGCATGCACACGCACCTGCACATAAATACACATGTGTGTGCACACACACACACGCCTGTCGTGCTGGTCTCTGCTCTCCTGGAGGCAGAGACTCCTCACTAGGAAGGCCGGTGCCACCCCCCCTTGCTCCCCCTTCTACCACCCCACCACCCACCCCCGTCTCAGCCAACCAGACGGGTCACGTCCGAGCCCAGCCTGTGGGGGTTCCATGCGGCTCGGGGGTCCCACACCATGAAATACCCCATTTCCAATTTGGGAAAGAGACAGTGCGATGGTCCGGAACTAGCCATTTAAGTAGCGGGACGGCCCTGGAGGAACAGGCCGGGCCCTCCCCCCGGGCCAGCTCTGTGCCCGGCCCTCCCCCCAGGCCCTCCCCCCGGGCCCTCCCCCCGGGCCCTACCCCCGGCCAGCTCTGTGCCCGGCCCTCCCCCCGACAAGCTCTGTGCCCGGCCCTCCCCCAGGCCAGCTCTGTGCCGGCCCTCCCCCCGGCCGGCTCTGTGCCCGGCCCTCCCCCCGGCCGGCTCCGTGCCCGGCCCATGGCGGTGCGTCAGCCCTCTCTGTCCCCACAGTCTCCTGCTTCTTCAACTTCACGGCGGCCTCGGGCGTCATCCTGTCGCCCAACTACCCCGAGGAATACGGCAACAACATGAACTGCGTGTGGCTGGTCATCGCCGAGCCGGGCAGCCGCGTGCACCTGCTCTTCCACGACTTCGACGTGGAGCCCCAGTTCGACTTCCTGGCCGTCAAGGACGACGGCGGCGCCGACGTGGCCGTGCTCGGCACCTTCTCCGGCCACGAGGCGCCCGCCCAGCTGGCCAGCAGCGGCCACGTGGTGCGCCTGGAGTTCCAGTCCGACCACTCCAACACCGGCCGCGGGTTCAACATCACCTACACCAGTGAGTGCGCCGCACGGCTCCGCACGTGAGTGTGTGAGAGAGTGTGTGTGAGAGAGAGAGTATGTGAGAGAGAGAGTGTGAGTGTGAGTGTGTGAGTGTGTGAGTGTGTGTGTGTGTGAGTGTGTGTGAGTGTGAGTGTGTGTGAGTGTGTGTGAGTGTGAGTGTGAGTGTGTGAGTGTGTGTGTGTGAGTGTGTGTGTGAGTGTGTGAGTGTGAGTGTGTGTGTGAGTGTGTGAGTGTGTGTGTGTGAGTGTGTGTGTGTGTGTGAGTGTGTGTGAGTGTGTGTGAGTGTGTGAGTGTGTGTGAGTGTGTGTGAGTGTGAGTGTGTGAGTGTGTGTGTGTGAGTGTGTGTGTGAGTGTGTGAGTGTGTGTGTGTGAGTGTGTGTGTGTGTGTGAGTGTGTGTGTGTGTGTGTGTGTGAGTGTGTGTGAGTGTGTGAGTGTGTGTGAGTGTGTGTGTGTGTGTGAGTGTGTGTGTGTGTGAGTGTGTGTGAGTGTGTGTGAGTGTGTGAGTGTGTGTGAGTGTGTGTGTGTGTGTGAGTGTGTGTGTGTGTGTGCGCACGCGTGTGTGTGAGTGTGTGAGTGTGTGTGTGTGTGTGTGTGTGTGTGAGTGTGTGTGTGTGAGTGTGAGAGTGTGTGTGAGTGTGTGTGTGGGCGGGGGGTGGGGGGGAGCAGGGCCGGGCCGCAGTGGCTCTGTGCTGCTGTTGCTTCTGGCTTTTAAATGTCTTCATTGGTCTGGTCGGGAGAGGAAGGGAGGGGGAGAGAGAAGCATCGATGAGGAGAGAGTCATCCGTCAGCTCCCCTGCACCCTGGCGCCTCTGGAGACGGAGCCTGTGACCTGGGCATGCGCCCTGGCCCTCTCGCTGCAGGAGATGATACTCAGCCAACGGCCAGGGCACCTCAGAGGGTTTATAATCGTAAAGAACATCACGAGGACGGCAGAGCCTGTCTCATTGTCCCGGGACCTGACACCTCTCTGTCCAGGTCCTGGCTCGGCCACCCCTGCCGTCAGGGCTGAGTCTCTCACATGTCTTTCCTCTCCCCTCCCTTTCCCTCCCTCCCCCGTCATCTTTACCCACCCATCGCCTATGCACTTCCATCCACAAGAAACAAGAAATGGCGGAGGGACGGGGAGGTTTGGGCCAGGCGCCCACTGGGACACGTGGCATCGGTGAACTCTGATGGACAGCGAATTCCCTTCTCTTCCCTCTGCCTTCTCCTTGGCACATGGCCCTGTTGGAGGCCGCTGCCCGGCTGTGGAGAGGGGCCCTGGCCGCCGGCTTCTCTGGGGCTCGGGCTGAGCCGTGGCCAGGGCTGCTCTCACCAGAGGGACAGCCTCTCGGAATCGGCCGCCCGTCCTCGTTCTGTGCGGGAGGGGGCGCTGCCCGTCAGGGTGAACTGCCCGTGGTGAGCGGGGAACCCGCAGGGGCCTGGACTCCGACCACGATGTGTCCAAACCACCCACCACCCTCTGCCCCCTGCGGGAGGCACGGCTGGGTGCTCCCGGTGGCCGTGCCCCACGTCCCTCTCCCTGCAGCGGGCGCTGTGCGGTCCGTCTGCAGGAGGAGAGGGCTGAGGGGGCGAGGCCGGCACAGGCACGGCCCCCGGCACAGGGGCTGCTCCTGTGGCCTAAGTGAGCCCGCTTCCCGCCAGCGTTCGGCCAGAACGAGTGCCACGACCCCGGCATCCCGGTGAACGGGCAGCGCTCCGGGGACCGCTTCCTGCTGGGCAGCTCGGTGACCTTCCGGTGCGACGACGGCTTCGTGCGGACGCAGGGCTCCGCGGCCATCACCTGCGGCCTGCAGGACGGCAACGTGGTGTGGAGCGCCGCCGTGCCGCGCTGCGAAGGTGGGTGCCGCCGCCGGCGCACGGGCCGGCAGCACGCAGGGCGCTGGGCACACTCCACAGGGCACACAGGGCGCTGGGCACACGGGGCACATGGGCCGGCAGCACGCAGGGCGCTGGGCACACTCCACAGGGCACACAGGGCGCTGGGCACACAGGGCGCTGGGCACACAGGGCACACACCACAGGGCACACAGGTCGGCAGCACGCAGGGTGCTGGGCACACAGGGCACACACCACAGGGCACACAGGGCACAGGGCACACAGGGCGCTGGGCACACAGGACGCTGCGCACACAGGGCACTGGGCACAGAGGGCACACACCGCAGGGTACACAGGGCACTGAGCACACAGGGCACTGAGCACACAGGGCACTGAGCACAGAGGGCACACGGGCCAGCAGTACACAGGGCACTGGGCACACAGGGCACACACCACAGGGCACACAGGGCACACACCACACGAGCACACAATACATGGGCACACACCACACGGGCACACAAGGGCACACGGGACACGCTGGACTTAGACCACATGGGCACAGGCCTGGTTAGACACTCCCTGGAGCGGCCTCGGGGACCCTCCAGGCCGTGGGGGCCCTGCCAGCCTGGCCCGTGTTGGGGGCTCCCTGGCGATTGGGGAGCTTCCTCCCTAGTGGGCGTGGCCTGCACCCAGTGTCCCTCCTTCCAGGGACCTGGGGCCTGGGGTGCAGGCCACGCCCACGGCCTCCTGCTCCACGGAGGCCGCCCTGCCTGTGGCCTCGCTGCACGCTCCGTCCCGCTGGGCGCGGCGGCTCCTGCTCAGGAGGACCCGCTCCTGCAGCCGGTCACCCCGTGCGAACCCGCCGCAGCTGCCGACGAGAAGCCCGGCAGAGCACCCTGCACGGGACAGAGGCCTCTTAAAAACACGTTTTTATCGATGTCAGGGAGGAAGGGGGGGAGAGAAACATCGATGACGAGAGCATCATTGATCAGCTGCCTCCTGCACGGCCCCCACTGGGCATGGAGCCCCAGCCGATGACCTGCCACCCCTCTCCCTTCCAGCCCCGTGCGGCGGCCACCTGACCGCGCCCAGCGGCGTCATCCTCCCGCCAGGCTGGCCAGGCTACTACCGAGACTCTCTCAACTGTGAGTGGATCGTCGAGGCGAAGCCAGGACAGGCAGTCAAGATCACCTTCGACAGGTACGGAGCCCTCCTCGGGCGGACCGAGGGTGCTGCCCAGCGTGCGTGCGTCTCCAGATGGCCCGGAGACTTCGGTGGGTCGTGCGCTGTGGTCCCCGCAGGGTCTGCTTAGAGGAAGTGAGGCGCATGCTTGGTGCACCTACTTCTCAAGCGTGAGCCTCCATCTCTGTTCGGAAGCCGCAGCCCAGGCCCCCTCCCCCCGATGCCCAGAGTGCCAGTGACAGGCCTGGTTCTTTGTGTGTGTGTGTGTGTGTGTGTGTGTTCAGAATATATTTTATTGATTTCCGAGAAGAAGGGAGAGGGAGAGAGAGAATATCAATGATGAGAATCCTGGGAATCGAGCCCACAACCCGGGTATGGCCTCACCGGCCAGGGCTGCTTCTCTGATTGCACAGGGGCCTCCTTCAGACCTCGCAGCCTTGGAAGCGCAGGGCACAGCGCCTCTGGTGGCGGTGGCGGTAACTTCAGGGTGGCTTCAGGTGCAGAGCTGGCCCTGGGGAAGGCTGGCAGGTGAATGACCAGGTGACTCACCTGCACAGAGAGACATCCAACCCAGACCACTGCCGAGGAGGCCCGCCAGGGACACCCGAGGCTGCTCGGAGGGCACGCTGGACGCCCCAACCACCACGCTCCCTTCGGTTTAAAACATGGGGCTGCGTGCCTGGGGCGTGGCTGCGTGATCAGGCATTTAATCATCTAAAACATGATCACGCTGTTAGAATTTTTCATGATGAAACATGGTACTGTTAACAAAAAAAAAAAAAAGACATGAAACCTGTAAAGAATTTTTGGGAGTTTATTTGAGCCAAACTGTCGACATATGCCGGGAAGCAGAACCTCAAGGGATTGAGATAATGCTCCAGAGAATGGCGGGTTACGTTTCTATATTTATACATTGCAATCAGAGGAAAGAAACGTAGGTGAGTTACATGAAATCCATTGGTGATGGATTAGGGAGGTGGGACAGAGTGAAGTGGGGAAACCTCTGGGATAGGGTAAAAGTTAAATGGCGGACCTGAGCTTCTTTCTCAGAGATGGATACAGGATACTCTAACGTAATTAACAGTTGACAATTAACTTGATAACAATAACAATGAGGGAATGTCTCAAGGCCATTTGTTGTGCCCTGAGGGGTTGGGGTAAAAGGAAGTTACAAGTTACCCAGACATCTCACAGATATGTTATCTTAGAGGCGGGAAGGCAAATAGGCTCAGTAAAGAAGATTTAAATTGATCTATGTCAGGTGAAATATCTGGGACATGACTACCCACTATAACCTGTTTGTAGTTAGACATTTAATTTTCAAACCATCTTTTGTGGTTATTTAAGGTCTCTGAGTTTGCAAGACTGCCACGCAGGCCTCCTCTGAGCTTGTCAGGTTAGCCTGTGGCTCTTTTCTTTCACAGTACCATTAGTCTCAACAATGAAATCCGGCTGAAACCAGTTTGGCTCAGTGGATAGAGCATCAGCCTGTGGACTGCAAGGTTCCGGGTTTGATTCCAGCCAAGGGCATGTACCTTGGTTGCAGGCACATCCCCGATAGGAAGTGTGCAAGAAGCAGCTGATCGATGATTCTCTCTCATAGATGTTTCTAACTCTCTATCCCTCTCCCTTCCTCTCTGTAAAAAATAAAGAAGATATATTAGAAAAACAAACAAACAATGAAATCTGCCTGAGGATGGTAAGGCAGAAATGATCTGAAGGAGCCCCATGTTTTAAACCAAGGGAGCGTGGTGGTTGGGGCGTCCAGCGTGCCTTCCGAGCAGCCTTGGGTGTCCCCGGCGGGCCTCCTCGGCAGGGGTCTGGGTTGGATGTTCGGGGACTGTGCTGCCTCACAGCGGACGGGTGTCAGTTGAGTTTAGCTCAGCTCACCGCTGCTTTTCGGTAATCGAGGGTGACTCCCGCCCAGGGGCTGTTCTGGCAGAGCATTCCGCCTTCTCTCCTGGCAATTGTTTGCCCTTGAGATGGCGCGTGATGCTGTTGTCCGGTTTGGGTGGGGTCCCGGCCATCTCCACGGGACGATCTCGGAAAAGAAGAGGAAGGAGGTGGGTGGTGTGCCTGTGCTGTGGGAGAGCGGACCCGTGCACAGCGTGTTAGTGCTCCGGGGAACACACGGGGTGCGCCCCCGCCCCAGGCTGTGGCTAAGGAAGATGCGAACGCTGTGTGCTCCCTGCGCACCGCACCGCTGAGCTCGGACCCCATCGTGGAGAAGCGTTAGAGAACATTGAGGCTGTGAGACGAGACTGCACCCTCAGCCCAGTGCCCAGGCTGGGACCTCAGGTGCCAGCCCTGCCCGGGATACATCCTTCGCTTTAAACAGAGGATGGTGACAATCGTTTGAAAATGCAAACTGATGGATTTTCAGTGATTGTTGATTACTGATCTATCCATTTTATGAAAGCTAGTCTGGTTGATGGGTATTTTAAAATATGTCTTCATTGATTTCAGAGAGGAAGGGAGAGTGTGAGAGAGAGAGAAACATCAACG